CTGGGACATATTGCTACTTTTTAAGAACCAAATACATCTTAACAACAATTTTTTTTCAGTTAAACCACTATCTGTGATAATAAGATAATATAATAATATAACCAATGAATATGTCAAATGTAGTTTCAACAAAATCAACAAAATTGTAGCACTCACACAAAATAATTCAGCAAAATATACCATATACACACATCAATACCCAATACATCTATTTATATCTACCTATAAATCTGTGGGCGGAGAGGTGAGGGCAGACCAGAGAATCCCACTTAAATAAAAACGGTCCATGCTCTGTTCAAACGTGAGCACTATCACCATCTACAGAATACAGCGGGTATCTGCAGCAGAGCAAACAGGCCCTTACAGTGAGCTGGCACTTCAGGTTTCCAGGGATTTACCAGGATCAGATTCCATGGACAAACCCCCTCTGCTTTAACTCTCCACAGAGTAACTCTCATGTTCCCATTTGGCAAATTGTATATCCTGGATTTTAACCCTAACGCAGTGGTTCTCAAACTTTTCACACAAAGTACCACCTAAGAAAATATTTAACTTTTTGAGCAAATCCATGGGTTTCAAAATGATAAAAAATAAGGACTGATGCCATAATAATTAACAATGCCGTGATATCTATTCAGAGTTTGCCAATTTACAAACCAGAACCAGAACAATTTAAAACAAATAACTGAACTTTAAACTGTGAAAAAATCCTCAAGATGTTGCATATAACAGGAAGCTGAAACCTATGAAAATAAAAAACAAGTCTAAAATCAAACAATGTATAAGGTAGTTCTTAGTAGTTTGAGAAACATTGCTCTAATGCATCATGGCAAATTTTATATGAAGTAATCTACAAATGTATGACTCAAGGAACCTGATATCTTGTTATGTGCAATTTAAAGGGCCCACACTACTATTTTCTGATCTATGTTGTAACGTTTCCTCATCAAAAACATACCTAGAGCTGTGTTGTGTTTCATTCACACATGTTTAACACACAAATCCTGCACATTTAGGTTCTCTCAAACAGAAAACACCCTGGAATTGCCAATCTCTACTGAACTAAAGGTAAAAGGTAGCTGTTAACTTGAAAAGTGTCACTTCATGACATCACACAGTGGAACAGCATTTGGTGCTTTGGACATGTAGACAAGCTAATAATAAAATGTTACTCAAACATGTGTGAATGAAACAAAACAAAACACAATTCAAGGTCTGTTTTTGAGGAGGTAACAACATTATAACATGGCTTAAAGCTCACAAGAATCAATACTGTGTAATATATGACCTTTAAATTATCAGATACAACATCAAAGCATCCCAAACCAGCCATGAACACTTGAAACCAGAGTGCTCAGAGAATAAATGAAACAAAGTGCGCTAAGGTGGTCCACTTAGCCAAGGTCCAAACACACTGACAGCAAGTTCATCCATCAGACCAAAGAACTGTCCCCAATGACAAAGAACTGCGTGAAAAATGAAAACAACTCAAGCTGCATTTCAGATTTGAAGCGCTTCTAAAAGAGCCCAAGAGCAGTAAATCCAGAGCTGATCCAGTGGTGTTGATTTGGGATCGTTTTACACACTGCGGCTATGAGACAGATGGAGTTGAAGTCGGCCATATTGCTACTGTAAACATAGACTCCAGTGTCAGAAATGCTTATATTATAAAAGTGCATGTATATCACTACTAAGCCTTGTGAGAGATGCATAGGCCTTTCACAAGTGTGATATAGGCCTATAGACATAAACAATAAAATTATTAGAATAGATAACCTTCTGTCATGTCAGTCATCTTTCATTTTTGCACTATTTCTCCTTACGAATATACTCTTGTATACAGCTATAGCTATATAGCTACATAGTGAGATATATTTGTATTGCTATGTTCCTATATTTTGTTTTTACTTGTACACATAGATTTTTATAATGATGCCTTATTTGACACCAGTCTCTTGTGACTTTTGCTACTTATTCTGAATTGATTATTACCATTTATATTTTTGCTCTTTGTTATTATAATATATTGTAATGTGGGAGCTACTGTGTTCAAATAATTTCCCTTGTGGATTAAAAAAGTTTGTGTAAATCTAAGTCACTAAAGCAGGATTATCGAAAGAATATATATTCTCGTGTTTCATCTTCCTGTTTATAACAAAAATATGATAACTTTTCCCAATACAAAACTATAGTATTTTGTTATACATTATTTGTTGCCATAGCAACAGTCCTAATTTTTCATCACTCTGAAACCCATGGCTATTTTAAATACACAATGAGCTGTAATAAATAGTAGTAGCAGAATGAAAGAGTTAGCTTGTATCTATCATAAGAGTGTATTCAAACAGTTCAAATCTAATTGTGGTATTGAAAAATAACAAAAAGATCCCCAAAGGAAAAAGTACCCACCAAAAATAGTGACCCCCAAAAGTTATTGTTCCAACAATTTTATATTGAAGTAATTATCATGACAGGCCTGGACGCATAAAGTCCAAGGTCACATAAGGAAAACCCACATATCATAACAGTAAAACATTTCAAATTCAAAGCATGGATGGGAAAGGCAAAGGTGTAGAAGCAGCCAGCACTGATGTCAACAGGAAAAATCTGTTTGGACCAGTGAGTTCGATTGATAGTGATTGTTGGTTTCATACTTGTGTTTATGTAAAACCATCTGTGCATCATAACATTTGCCACACAGTTCACATGTGAGGGACACTTTGGCCCTGCTCAGAGTAAACAAGCTGAGGTGTCATATCAGGTCCAGACACTGAGCAATGTGAAGCAGGTTTTACCATACAATTAAATGTTACAAAGCTGTGATGGATTTAAAGGTGCACTGCGCAACTTTTCTGATGGGTGGTCCGCTACTATGTTTTCGCTTTGCCTGTTGTATACTATGACATTAAATTTATCTATTTTATAGGATTATCAAAATAATTTAAACCAAGATACTAACTGATATTAAAACTAGTACTGTAATTAATCATTCAAGTATGAAAATGAATTAACATAAATAGGACAAAATTTGACCTTTTGTAAACTAGTATAATATTACATTATATTAAGAAACTATCATAACAGTACTGTGAAGTATCGAAATCGATATTGGGTATCAAACCTTTCTGTTATAACCCTGAAACTCAGTCTGAAATGTTAGTATCAACTAATCTTTTTACTTAGAGACGGGGACTTTTAAGCAATAAACGCCTCCAATTTAATACATGTAAGGTAGACAGAAGTTTAATACTGTGAAGCATTCAAGGGAAAGCAATAATATCTCCATGAGCACAAGCAGGTGGCATACCCTCATACAGAAATGTTACTTAAGATTTTGAAACTAATCTATTCTTGTACGAACTAAAACTGATTTAAGACTTGCTTTACATTGTGTAACAAATTGTAAAGTACATGCAATTCCAGGAAGTCAATTAGAAGTTGTGACCCACAGCGGGGAGTCTGATGATGGCTGAGCACTGATATAGTTCAACTGTGAAATGAGACCCCGGGCGTGGAAAAACTATTTGCTCTACAGGCCCTTAACGCCGTGAAAAGGTCCTCTTAAGTTATTCGAAAAGCCTTTAACATTGGATACAGTCAGTGATCGTTCTGCAGATGCTAGGACTTGGATGTCATAAGTGTACTCCAAGGAAAGCTAGAAGGTTGTACAGTTAACTCCCAGGGTGTAATTCTAAACCATACAACCTACTACCTCAACCCGGATGCACACACTAGCAATGTTTCAGAACCAAATTTGTATGTTTGGATTTTAAATAGCTATTATGTGCCCAAAGATAGAATAATTAGACTAGGACATCAAGCCACGACTATGAAACTACATCTAAGGAAAAAAAAAAGTTTGTAAAAAGCACAAAAAGTTACGACGTTCACACCACAATGACAAAGACCCACAGAATCGAGCTTGTGATGTCAGATTTGCCACAAGATCGGATCTACGGGTTTGTGCCAAGAGGTTAAGCCCAAAGTATCAAATCAATTTAATAAAGAATAAAAAATATAAACGGCAATAAATAGTCACATTTTATATAGTGCTTTTCTACCTTCAAGGCACTCAAAGCACTACACCCATTCATACAGTGAGCACAGACAGATCGGGATTTGAACCGCCAACCTTCATATCAGAGAACAAGCACTCTTTCAGCTGAGCTACAATATAATTATAAGTAGGGATGGGCAATATTGTGATAAACATTTAATTGTGATCTCAGACCTGTTTTTTGGTTGATGGTTGGTTCATGAGTCACAATTATTTTCAGCTCTATGCTCAAAAACCTTTTTTCCAACCCACATCTCTGAGTGAGTGACAGGTAGATTTAACCAACTGAAATGAAGCGTAAACTTTCAGAATAAGCAGAAGTCTCAAAATAATATAGTATAAAACTATATTGAATTATTATTAAATACATGATAGATTTTATCATTTATCATGAGAACTTTTTGTTTGTACTAGTGGGGGACTTTTGTCATTTTTCTGTACTAGGATAAAATTTGAGCTGTACAAGGTTGAATAAAAAACTTCTATGACTCATGAAGTGTTTATTTATTTATTCACTTATTTATTCATTTATTGATTTTAGCTTACATTAATTAACAATTCTGTATACACTATATTAAATAGTTTTTTGAGTGAAATCCTGCTTTAGGGTCATTGTGTCAGTGGCATAATGGTATTTAATATCACTGTTTATTGTCTATATTTACTTCAGCAATGTATGACACTTAAACACATTTGTTATCGTCACAGGCTTAATCTTCATAAAATCTAAACTGCTCTAGCTCTAAGAAAATTATGATATTATACTTTTTTTTGCCATATCGCCCACCCCTAATTATAAGTGTGTTGTTGAAATGATAGCCAGAAGGTAACTTATCACAGAAATGTCCGTAACTTTGGTCACTGAGTAAAAAAAATTTAGCTATGCTGTTGTTAAGCCTCACCCCAAAAGTGGAAGTTCATGAAACAGATGGAGTTAACTTACCAACATCGATGTTTTCCACTCAGGGGGGAACAAGGTCAGTTATTTTTCTCCTCCTAAAAACAGGAAAAGAGTTGTTTTAAAAATGTGCACAATGATCAATGGTCTCCTATTGTTCAAGTTTTCATAACAGTGTTGAGTTTCCCATCTGCACGCGGATATCAAACTCATATAATAACGAGATTGCTATTGCAAACTACCCACAAAACTGCCTAGGCATCCCTCTTACTGGCAGAAGCTATAAGGCTGTGGTGAAAAGTTATCCAAGACCGCAGAGTAAAAGCAGATAACATTGAAAACGAAAAGAAAAATTGTCTGGATGAGAAAAATGCCAGTGCAGTCAAGCATGGCACAACCAGTTACCATTAACCCGAGCAAGGGTTAGCAAGAGCCAGGAACTACAAATGATATTAGAAAACTGTTTCGGCCGCAATGCGACAAAGAGAATTAAAAAAGTAAGGGGGGAATGTCTCTTACTGATAGAGCTAATATCATTATCTGTCTAAACTAGCTTGTGGTGGTGGTGCGGTATTGCTGTCATAGTTTGAGACATAGGAGGAGGAATACGAAATGAAATGAAAACTGAGCACGCAGACAACAGCGGAACAGTTCAGCAATGCACTGTCCGCCATTTTCTTAGACACAAGAACAAGGGAAAAAAAGAAGTGGAGAGAATTGGTTTTGCTGGCATCATTATTCAAAGTTTACCCCTTGTCCGCCTCTGTGCGCCTCAAAGATCTTATGATTTCCTCACAGAAAAAAAACCACATCACGATTCAAGTATTCTGCTGAGTCTGTGAATATATCTTTTGTCCAAATAAAAATGTTAGCCCAGTCTGCCACCCTCTCCCCCCTCTCCTCGCCCAAAATCTGGCACATTTTGGTGAAGAGGGGGGAGGCGGTGCAAAGGGTGGTGTTAGGAGTCATGGCAACCTGGGTCTGGAACGCAGCCAAGCACCCCGAGGTGACGAGATCTCAGGGCAGGAATGCCTTGTGCCTTCCAAAGTCAACTCCATGGGTGTGCTGGTTGTTTAAGATTACATCTCAAATGCCAGGATTGTTCTGAGGGGGGGAAAAACAAAACTCATGAAAGCCTGCTGACAAATATTTAGTGATCCATATAGACATTTAGAAGAACAAAAAGGTGTTTAGTGTCTTAAGCCATACATCTGTGACAATACAATAAAGAGCTATCTCAAGGATGTCTATAAAAAGAATCTGATTCATTGTCTTTTATCTTAGCCATATATTTTCTTTCACTATGTCCATCACAAATAGAAATGTGGCTGCCTCCTAACACACAGAAGAACACTGAATGGTGGCGTTTGAGACAGGACATGTGTGATGTTGGTTTATTTCAATAGAAATGAACAGCTTCACAAATTAATGCTGAAGTAAGTCAATAATATTGAGGAGTGTGACCAGGAGAGATCAGCGATCAGGAGTAATGTGATTTTAATGCCAGTTAAGCTGTCTGTACGGAGCCCAGATTATTAGACCTATCTCTATATCAGTCATCAGCAAGTGCTTGAAACAAAGATTCCATCTTGAGAGCAAATCAGGCTTTCTTCTGAGTGCACCAGAGACACATCTCCAGCTATTACTATGAATAACAGCCCTCAACTTTCAAATGTGTCAGAGCCATCCACTGGCACACAGGGGGATGTGATTCAATTATGTGTAGTTGCTTATGTACTTAGCATATTGCACTGCATGGGTGTAAGAGATGATGAAATCCTAACTGCATTATTGCAAAGAAAGTAAAGATCACATGCAATGTTTTACATTACATTTAAAATTTAAGATCAGTTTGACAAGTACAAATAACAGAGCATGTGAATTAGTGACAATGGATAGTGCCCAGACACCAGTAGTGCAAACACAAGGAGCTCATCTGCTCATATTAAACACAGGCTCTCAGATAAAGCACCTCTAAGTATTCCCCCACTGAGGGTCATCTCATATCCTGAAAGGCAGGAGGCCAGGGTCAAAGTTCACATGAGACGGGGGAAGGACTTCCCTTGGGTATGGCCTGTACCATTTCAAACCAGACAGGGGTGCAGCAGCAGACAGACGCCTCCACCAACAATACCAAACATCACATGAACTGATTCGCCAAAAACAAGCCTCTGAATATTATGAGACTGCAAAAATAAATAAATATAGAAAAAGGAGCAACAGTTGTTAAAGACAGTATGGAATGTTGTAATTTCTAGCCAAGAATAATTAAATCATAAATAGTGGATATTATTCTATGTCTATTCTTTGAAATTGTTGTTTTTGTGTGGTTAGTAAAAATAAAAATTGTGATTCTAAAAATGAAAAATAAATAAATAAATAAATAAAATTAAATAACACCATACTATAAAACATGAAGGAGGTTTTAAAGGCAATAAAATATGAATAACAAACTTATCAAAATATTTTGGACATTGGCAGTGAAATTCCTGCACGATGTGTGTTTTTATTCTCCACAGGCTCGATGAAGACAGCCTGTTATTTCTGGCTCTGAGCTCATATCTCTATTCATTTCCTTCTGCCTCCAGCCATGACAGAAAAACAGTCAACAGGTTCATTCAGACACAAGCTGAAGCACTTGAGTTTCAGGGGACAAAGCCATGCAAATACTATATAGTCTGCAATGCCTAAACTATATTACCGTAGTCATGTGGAGGGGAAAACATATCCAGACTAATGAAGCTACAAATGTACAAATATCTATTGTACAGAAGCCTTTTTACTTTACTAAAACACTCAGCAAGAGCAAACACGCAAAATAAAGAGCCTAAAATCCTGTACATGATGCAGAAATATCAGATGAAGCTTATTTTGATGTAGTAAATAACCCCATGTAATCACTATTTAATCTTCTCTTCTCCTTACAACTTCTTGTATATAGCAGAGATATATTTACAATGTTTCTATATTTTTATTCTTCTTGTACATACTATACTTATAATACTTTTGGCACCAGTCTCTTGTTATTTTTGATACTTATTTTGAACTAATTATAGTCATTTATATATGTTTTTCTCTTTATTATAATATTTACTGTGATGTGTGAGCTGCTGTGTCCAAATCATTTCCATTTTGGATCAATAAAGTTTGTCTACGTCTACATCTAAGTCTAATAATGAACTGATGTTGATTTAAGATTTATAAATTTTCATGTAAAAGCTAATGAATTCATTGTTTCATACATTGTTTTGTAACTAGACTGTACTATTTATACTGCCATGGCATCTCTATATGTCATTAAATTTGTATTATGTATTTCTAAAGGACCCAAGATTTGCTGGCCCTCTGGGGATCCTAACGAGGATTCTAATACATGTGAAATAAAAAAACAAAATGCCAGATACATGATTATAAATTATAAATATTGTTATGTGTTTTGATAAGGTAGGATCAGCCTGGTGGTCAGTCAGGACAATGACTTTGTCTGACCCACCTGTCTGTTGATCCTGCTGCCTAGCACCAGACAAACACTGAGATTTCCACAGCTTCTCATTGGCTGCAGCTGACTCCCCAACAGCCAATCACAGCTCAGAGAAGCATGGAGGGCACGTACCACAAGAGTTAAAGGAAGAGGAAGAGACTTGCAGACACAACCAAACCTCATAGTAACCGGCATGCTGGGAAAAAAATACTACAGCTTCTAAAAGTAGATCAAACCATCGCTTTCACCAAAATAAATACATACAAATAGACAACTACATACAAATAAATAAAAATGAAACATAAAGTGTTTATTCTTAAAGGTGGATTGTGTAACTTCTAGTGGAGGGCCTGTCAAATGCTTTTCATCCTGGATATGTTATTGCTTCGTTTGGAATGTTTAACAGTATGGTATTAAATCTTTCTATCTTCATGGAAACCATATCAAACCAAGTTACAGGTCAGATTTCTGGAGAGGCAACCTCGCTCACAGTCAGGATGCCTGTTTTTCTTGGTATTTTCGAGCAGTAAAACCATCTGCAATTGAATAAATGTAAGGTAGAGTAGTCTAAAGTCATTCTGTGGAACATTACAGGCAGAATGATGACATATCCATAGAAACAAGCAGGTGATGGAATCCAACCAAAAAGTTACACAGTGCACCTTTAACAACGAACTAAAAGGGTATTTGATTTTGAATGGCACAGAATTGATTAGGTGGCTCTGAGCAGTGCTGCTATCAGAGCGTGCTTTTATCATTGCTAAAAGGGATCAATAAATAATGAATTTCAAACGGAGGAGTTTCATAAACACAAACGTATCCTACACGTGAGTGCATAAAGTAACCTCTGAGGATCGATGAATATGACATTACACAAAGCCAGAGGAATGCATCTTCTTAATTGACCTGAGCGTTTCAAATTAATTCCACCGACAATTAAAATGGATTGGTCGCTATGGCACCTCCAGTCGTGGCGTTTTATGGCGTGTGTGGATCACCTCTCGACCTGGCCTTGTGCTTTAATTACCGCTGTTTGATCAGGATGCACAGACAGTGGAGGAATAAAGGGCTTACTTTAGCAGTTTACTCAGCTAGTAAAACATCTCATGGTGATATCGGAAGTAATTACATACATAAATACATGTATGTTGTAAATGTGATATGGGGCAACAAGCAAATTACAAGTGTGTGTGCTGTTCACTTCATAACTCATCAAGATCCTAGAAGTGAGTTCAAATAAAACATTTCTATTCATAAAACATTGGACTTTTTTTCCATTCAAAGGATATCTTTTGTTTTAATTGTTAATTGCTATGGCAACAAGTTTTCATCATTCTGAAACAAGATATATTCAAGATATTTTCAATAAACAGTTTAAACTCATTATATATGCTATTTTAAAACAAATGGCCCTTGCTTTTGAAGGCCTCTTTATATCAGAGACAAGTATAGAAAATATGAAAAATATTTTTTGAGTTTAAATGTATTATAATAAGAGAAATCATAACTACACATGGCTTTTATCTAGCAATGTGCAATTAATCAAATTTTAATCAAGACTGAGATGAAGTAATTTCTAATTGTCAATGATCAGCTCAAGTTTAATCCTCCGTCAGT